CCTTGTGACTTTAAATCAACGATTCTAATGTTAGGTATCCAGTTTCCTGTAGTTTTACAGTTAGTGTATTTTCAATTCAGGGTGTCAATAGGTGAAATTGTAATCTTAGTTCTACAAATTGAAGTCGAGCATTTGTGGCTTCTTTAAAAGTTGCTTGGCTCCTTGTAACTTCAAAGATGGCTGTGATTATCTGACTTAAAGCCTGTTGCTGACAATATAAGAAAAGGCAAATTATTCTTTAACATCTTCTATGTTCACTTGTCTTCAAATTTCCTGCCTTCTGATTTGATCTTGGTATCATAACTTTTCTTTTAATTTCCATATTCATTCTGCTGCATAATCGGGAATCCTTACCTCTCAGCCCCCAAGTCCGAGACTCTGTATGGCTTTGTTGCTGTGTTAATATTTCTTTCCCCACCCCCATGTTCTTATGCCATGGATTTTGGGGACAGTGGTAGAGGCTGGGCTGCCAGGTGAGGATGTCGACTTTGCCCTGTTTGGATGTGGAAGCAGGGTAATTGAAAATGACTAGCATGACGGATCCAGAAATATGAGGAATAGGACCTTCGGACATTCATCAGCCTAATGAACGCCCTTTTTGTTCCTTTTTGGAGAAATCATTATACTTTCTCTAAGTATTGCCTTTTAAAACCTGGACTATTTACCTGGGAAACTCCTATTTCATTCCTTAGACACAGGTGAATATCACTTCTTTTGCCCAATTCTTTTCTCCTTCCAGAGTTACTACTAGCCTTTTTTCTGTGCTCTCATGGCCTTTTATGCATAAGTGTGTTTTAGTTCCAATGGTGTTGAATTGTAATGTTTTAATTCCTGTCCTTGAATTCACAGCAGCATTGACACCTGATACTTCACTCTTTGGAGTTATCTCATTCCTTGGCTTTTTCTTCTTCTTCTCCCCCTCCTCCTCCTCCTTCTTCTTCTTTTTTTTTTTTTTAGGTTAATTTGTGCTTTTATTTGCCAGGGTAACTTAACTATAGTTGCCTGCAAACTTTTTTGACCTAAAAAATACATTTTACATCACAACCCAATAAGCACACACATAAAATATGTATATATGT